TTGTGGACTTCAACTCCCAGAATTCCTCAGCCAGCTTTGCTGGCTGAGGAATTCTGGGAGTTGAAGTCCACAAGTCTTAAAGTTGCCAAGGTTGGACACCCCTGTTTTAGACTTTCTAAGAAAGGCCAAGCAAGACTTCTAAAGCAGAATTATTGAAAAGGCCAATTGAACACTTCTCCAAGTTTTTCACTGCCAAGATCAAAGTATTATTAGACTCAGCAACAAAGAAAGCAGAACTGAACCCTGTAAATTTTTTCTTCCTGACTTCCAGGCAGTATGGCATGTAGCCTGCTGAGTTCTCCAAGCGCTTTGATCTGCAACCTTAATGACTGGGATGGAAGCTCAACCCGCCGACAAGGTGACATATGTCAACGTGCAAAGTACAGTGAAGGGAAGAGCCAATACACAGTCAGAATTGGAGAGCAAGTGCTTACTAGAGGTAAGTGAGTAGGTTAATAGATTGGACAACCATTTGACTAGGACGGTATAATTAACAGATTAACAGAGTTGGAAGGGATCTTGTAGGTCATCTAGTCTACCACCACCCCACCCAAGCAGAAGACCCTACACCATTTCTGATAAATGTCAGTCCAGTCTCTTCTTGAAAGCTTCCAGTGATGAAGCTCCCACAACTTCTGAAGGCAACTTCTGTTCCATGGATTGATTGTTCTCACTGTCAGAAAGTTTCTCCTTATTTCCAGGTTAAATCTCTCCTTGTTCAGTTTCCACCCATTATTCCTTGTCTGGCCTACAAGCGCTTTAGAAAATAGCTTGCCCCCTTCCTCTCTGTGGCAGCCCCTCAAATATTGGAAGACTGCTGCCATGTCTGCCCTGGTCCTTCTCTTCACTAGACTAGCCATGCCCAGCCATTCCTGCAACCATTCTTCAAATGTTTTAGCCTCCAGTCCCCTAATCATCTTGGTTGCTCTTCTCTGTACTCTTTCTAGAGTAGTGGTGGCTAACCTCTTTGGACTCCTGTGCCAAAAATTTCACACCCATTAGCATGCGCGCACTTGTGTGCCAGCACCCAGAATGCAATGCACGCCCCCCCACGCCCCCTGACCATGCATGTGCAATCACCCCCTGCCACCCTCTTACCTGCACCGCACCTCACAGCTGATTTTTCTGCTGGTTTGAGGCCTTTTTTGATCTCCCAGAGGCTTGGAAAAAGCCTCTGCAAGGCTTTTCAGGACGAACAATAGGTCCATTTCATCACTTCTGGTATTACAGGAAGTGATGAAAAGGGCCTATTCTTCGTCGTGAAAAGCCTTGCAGAGGCTTTTTCCAAGCATCTGGAAAGCCGAAAAAGGCCTCGAACCAGCAGAAAAATCAATTGTGAGGTGCATGCATGCACAATGAGGTAAGTTTGCCTGCGGCTCGTGTGCCGACACAAATGGCTCTGCATGCCACTTGTGGCACACGTGCCCTAGGTTCACCATCACGGTTCTAGCGTCTCAACATCTTTTTTATAGTGTGGTGACCAAAACTGGATGCAGTACTCTAGTTGTGGTCTTTCTAAGGCTTTATTGAGTGGTATTAGTACCTCACTTGATCTTGATTGTATCCCTTTGTTAATGCAATTTAGGATTGCGTTGGCTTTTTTGGCTGCCACCATACACTGTTGGCTCATATTTAGCTGGTTGTCTACTAAGACTCCAAGATCCCTCTCACAATTACTGCTGTTAAGCCTGGTTTCACTCAGTCTTTATGTGAATAAGTATATAAGTCATTCAAGCCCTGGTCATCTCCTATTTGGATTATGCAAAACACTTTACATGGGGTTACCCTTAAAACATTTCTGGAAGCTTTAGTTGATACAAACTGCAGCTGTGTGAGTAATCTTGGATATTACAAGAACAGTTTATGTAACATCTCTGCTCTACGAGCTGAGTTGGGTGCCAGTTTGCTTCCAGGTCCAATTCAGGGTGTTAGTTGTGACCTATAAAACTCTACATGGCTGGCAGGAACATGTAGGCAAATGGTGGTTCCCCGTTCTAGACCAGACCTTGTGTCTTTAATCCTGCATTTCTCCGTATTTCAAAATCAACAGATTAGCTGCATTATTTATTTTTTATTCTGCCATCTCCTTGGAAAAGGAAAGCAAAAATATGTGTTTTCTTTTTTTTAGCTTCCGAGCTTGCAGAAGATCCAGAAAAATTCTTCCCCAGTTTTCAGCGTGTTTATTTCTGGAAAGGTAGGTGATTTGGAGGTGAATGGCCAGGTGTCAAAAGGTGGAAGGAAGAGATATGTGTCTCAGCAGAATGGGGATCAGTTATGTCTTTTAGGGAGGGAATATTCAGATGGGCCTATTATACAATTGTACAATTTTATTACGCATATGTACAAGTAAATGTACACATGCATAAATGTATATACATGCACACAAATGCACATTCATGTGCAGATGGCCAGCTAGGTGGCAGCACCTAGTTACATTTGGCTTATCCAAGAAGGCTAGATAGAGCTAAACTAAAAATAATAATTATTATTTTTATGGGTAACAAACCAGGAAATCTTTTATTTGTTTAAACCATCCAAGCCAATACAACTGTAGGGGCATATTCATGTATTCATGAGGAGTTGAGGCTTCTTGATTGAGGTTTTTTTTTGATGACATCTTATCCTTCTCCCTTCCTTGTCATCTTTGTTATTTTTCAATGTGAATATTTATGTTTCTTAATGTTTTACACTGTTTTTTTCACTTTGTTGTAAACTGCCTAGAGCTGACAGATTGCAAGGTGGGCGGTAGATACTTTTAATAAACAAACAAATGTATTTGATGCATGCATAAAAACTATAAAATACTTGACTCATTTTGTAGGCATCTCCTTGTTTAGATGTTCCAATCTGATTTGGAAACTTCCTTCAACTTGAAAGTGCAGTCAGGTGTATAGCCCGATCTCTCTCTCTCTCTCTCTCTCTCTCTGTCTCCCTCTCTCCCCCTCTCCCTCCCTCCCTCTCCTTCTTTCTCTATCTATCTATCTATCTATCTATCTATCTATCTATCTATCTATCTATCTATCTATCA